CCTGCATGTACTTGAGCTTGCAGCCCCACCAACTAGATGCAGATGGATGGTCCTTATGATACGTGGGGAGCTGGGGTGAAGACATGAGGGACTCTTCTGGGGTTCAGCCAGGCAAAGAATTGGATGGGGCTGACACAAACACCGGCTGAGTTTGGGGTAAGGGGTAGAGTGTGGGGAGGGAGGAGCCTAGGTTAGTGGGAAGATGAGGGCTGGACAAAGTCTGAAAGCTTGACTTTTTCCAAGGGGCCACTGTTTCAGATTACTGCACCAGGCTCCACGGGGTACTGAGGTCATAGGACCAAGGGTCTGTGGGTCTGGCAAAAAGCATGTTGTGCTGGGTTAAGAGAAAGGAAGAAAGTTAAGGGGGTGAAGAAGGCTGCACATCCAGGTGCAAAGCTGAACTTCCCTCTGTGACCCAATGCTCTGGGCAGCCTGCCTGTTCCTGAGGAACGCCTGGGTCAAGGTTGGTCCCGATGCTCTGCAGATAGCCCAGGGACTTGTGGCCCTACGTGCCCTTTTCACTTTCCAGCACATAAACACTGTGCAAACAGGCAAGGGGCTGGAGGCCTAAGGGGGCTGGCAGACGAGGGAACTTAGGGAAGGGAAAATTCACCTCACTCTTACTGCCAGGTGGATTACATAGCCACCAAAATCCTTTCTTAGACGGACATATAGAAATCACCGTGTCTTGATGTCATTAGCAGCGACCAGTACAAGGACCTCATCAGAGAAAAGGTAACAAAATGACCTTCTTTCAAGTGAATTAGAAAAGGAAAAAAAATCTTGTTTTCCTTAAATCAGAACCAAGCCCTGCTTTGGTTGACTCTGATCTGGGGAAAGAGAATGTTTGACATGGAAGAGAAAGCTTAGGCCAGCACAGGCTAAGAGAAGTTCTCTCTCCAGGTTGGAAGAGTAGTCATTTATAAGACTATGCAAAGTGGCTCCTCTCTTTTCCAAATGTTGAATGCACGGCTTCTAATAATGACATGGTGATTTCTTTAAAGGGCAGGCTCTTCAGAGTCACCCAGTTCTTGATCAGACCCCCAGTCACCCACCCCTCACTCTCCCCCAGACCAGGCTGACACACAAGGTAGAAAAGCCACCAGGTAGGAGTGAGGTCACATGCATCATTGGGCCACTCATTCATAATGATCTGTGGCTTTCTGCACTGTCCAAATGGACTTCTCACTCTCCTCTCTGGTTTTGCAGTTTGCACCCAGTGGCCCTAAAGAATCAGAAACGTGTCTTTCCTGTATCACAGATGCACCAACACCTGCACGGGTGTTGGCCAGTCATCTCTGGGTCCCCTGGCTCTACACCCTGTGGTTAATACTTTATTTCCTATTATTTGTTCGGAGCTTAAAAAAAGATTAAAAAAAACCCCTTGGTTATTTTTTAGTTTTTAATTTTTAAAAATCGAACATAATCCCCAAACAGTGTAAGAAGCCCAACGACGTGAGCGAATTCCTAGCTGGGTTAAGTGTTACAGCAGGCAATAGTCAAATGTTAAATGCCTTTAAAAAGTCAAAAGAAACGCATAAAGCAGTGCATGCATTTTGTTGCCACAAAATAAAGACTGGATTTGGACAGGGATTACTTCGTTTAAGTTACATTGCTATTGTTAAAGAATAGTGAGTCATAATGCAATATCTAGAACATATATAACCACCTACACAGTAGCATCACTTTATCTAGAAACAAACATATCAGTGTTACTAAACGAACATATTTATAAAATACTGTACACTGCTTCTGCAGGGGGTTAGCAGATGTAAACAAACAGCTAATTCAACTGGAGTTTAAATTATTATTTTAAGTTCATTTGTCAGAGAGTCTTTCGCATCACATGCCAGTTCGTCTTTCGCAAAACACAACTCGCCTACCACGGCTCACGGGGCTGGTTAGAGGGTGTACATCGGCTTATACAAGTATTTCCTCATGGGCTAGAGGACTGTGAAAACCATAAAGCAGATCGGGAACAAAAGTGCTCATTTTGCGAGGATGCTGAATAACATGGAATTGGGAACATACTTAATCCTTGCAACATGTGCTTCTTTATTGAATGTTACAGATTGGTCAGTGATTATAAAGCTGTCCTGTAACGTTCATTAATACAACCACATGCTACAACTATGCTGGGTGAAACATGGGTTACATATATGTGTACATGTGTTTTATAATACAGCATTGCTCGACACATCGAATGGTACAGTCTATAGATAGAGCATGATGGATGACTGGATAATATTGATTACCAAGATAGAAGTTAAACAGCCCAAACATTCGGGAAGATTAGACTGTATAGCCTCAGAAAGTCAAATTAATGTACTATCCAGTTATCTACCGTAATATTATCTATAGAAACCATCTTTTAGAATACATTTGAAACATTCAGAAGAAACGCACCGTGTGTTTTTACAAGTATATTTTCCCCATTGGATTATTCATATATATATGTGTGTGTGTGTGTGTGTGTGTGTGTGTGTGTGTGTATATATATATATATATATATATTTTTTTTTTTAAGGGGGACTTTCAAAGTGCTAAATATATATCCTAGACCTGGAAGCTTAGACTTAAAGGGAAAGCCAGTTCTGGTAAAGTGCTGTATTCTGCCTGCTAATACGCCTTCTGGCTTGGAGAAATATACGAACTAGCCGTGACAATTGTGTCCAAGATTTCCAGCTCCTCATTCAAAACCATCCAGGAGGGAGTTTCTAACTATAAGTATGTGGGTCAATCAGGGAATTTCCATGGCCATTTTCTTAAAACACCCTTGATTTTTTTTTTTTTTTCAAAAGGAACAAGCGACTTAGAACAAATCATTACGTATAGTAGCATGTAAAAATTGGCACCTCAGAAGCAGATGATGGAACCAAAGCTATTACTTCTATGAGCGCTCTCTGACTTTATTTATGTTCCTCAATAATGTGCTGCTCATGAGCTGCTTAATTCACAGAGACAGGTAATTAACGTCTCCTTGATCAGGGACATGATGGAATAAAGGAGCTGAACATAAGCTTGACCGCGCAAGGCCATAGTGGGGTGCAGAGAACCCAGAAATGGGAAGAAGTGCGGTGAAAGAGAATACACATGTCTGCGCACAGGAAAGAGATGGCTCACGAGAATTGCACGGTTTACATTTAACATCATTTAGACTTGGCTTATATATTTTGCACATGTCACGAAAGATGTAAGAGCTTTGTTTTCCTGTACAACCAAAGAACCAGGCAGTCACAAGGTCAGGACTGGTAAGGACTGCGTTTCCCTGGTCCCGTTCCGTTCTCTCCAGAAATCATGATGAATGGAAACACTTGTGCACATAATTTCTTTCCCTCACTTTCTGTCCGGTCCAGAATGGGGCCCTAGAGGTGCTGTGATGTCCTGCTCTGTGGTCAAAGAATAGTGGTTTCACCTCCTCCTTGGATTCCTCTACAGACTCACTCAGAGAGCCTTCTGGCTTTTTAAATCATCAAACATTAGGATACAAGGACATCAAACTAGCAAAATATAACCTAAGGGACGAAAAGAACAAAATCCTGGTTCCAACTCTGGTGCTGAGACTTGGGCCTTCCTGAGAATCACAGATAAATGGTCTCAAATGTAAAGTGCCTATTACAACTGTATTGATCATGAACAAACATGGTTCCTCTTCCTCATTATCAAGCAACATGGAACCAGGGGTACATGAACCCTTTCAAGTTACATTGCAACTCTGCATGTATGTATATTTTTTTTCTGGGGAGAGGGCCCAGAGCTTTCATAAGATTCTCACTGAGATGCATGATTCAAGGAAGTTTAAGGGCAACTGATTTATTCTCAGACCAAAGGCATGTTTGCTGGAACGGAAACAGTCAATGTGGGGCTCAATAAAAAATGTAAGCATTTCTAGAGCAATTACGCATGAGGGAGTCTGGTTGCTTATGTCCGATTCACCCAAATACCAAAGAGTGAAAAGGAATTCTTTAGGTCATTTTCCTTAAAGATTTTATTCTTTTGAAAATCAGTGACACAAGTAGGAATCGGAAGATTTGAGAGTCAATATTTCTTTATCCTTCAAATCCAGATTCTGACCTAGTAGTGGACGTCTGTATTAAAGAGTCCGTAATACTATCTGGTTTAGATGCGCATGTCTAATTCAGACTGTACTTAGCGTAATCACTTTGTGCGGGAGAAACCAGACTAAATAAGATGTCATTGCAGCAAGTGTTTCTGGACAGAAAACAAGCAGAGGGCAGGAAGCCAGTCATTTTGGCAACTTTAGTTTGGTGCAAGGAAGAGTTAAGGTCACAGGGATTTAAAAAAAACATAATTTCAACATCTGTCAAAAATCCAACATGACAGAATGAACTCTTTCAATGGAACTCCTTGAATATTAAAATATCCCTATTATACCTCACGGTGATAGAAAAGAAATCTTACGAAAGCTCTATATGCCTGTTTATATACTATATATAAACATGTCTCTGTGTGAATGCACATATATGTATATAAGCAGCATATACTATAGAAGTCTTTCTGTAGTTTATTTGCTTTCTACTTGAGTCTACTGTATCATTTTTATAGCTCTGTATATAAGAAAAATATTCATGGTATGCCTGCAACTGATGGCTTTGGGTTGATACCAAATTCCCAGTCAATTCTCAGGTTATTTATGATTTGAAACTTCCTTAAAAAGTACTTTGGAACATTTCCATAAAAAAGATACCAGCCCTTGAAAAACTCCAATGAAATTTATGCTGAGCTCAGATTAAACAGCAAAACTCTAGGTATGAAAATATCCATGTGTGAGCAGATCTTCATATACAAAATGGTCATGTGATGAGCGGTGTGAAGAATTTCCAGGTATATCTTGGAGATGTTCAGAAGACATGGTGGAGCCATGCAAATGATGACAATCACACAGCAGCATGACACAAGACGCGGATGGTGAGAATGTAACAGTATACCACATGGCAACTTAAGGTGACTTCTGCCCACTGCATATATTTCTTTCTTTTAGTTCACTATCACATATTCAGTGAGTGACTTGACTGATGACAGGTGAGATACAAAATAAATTAAAAAATATAAAATTATTTAATTACATTCATCCTGAGCTTGCTCAACTATACTCGAATGCCCACTGTATATAATAAACCACTTGACATTTGTTTTTAGCCTCAATTCTTCTTTCATTTTGACTGCAATACAAAAAGGCATTTCTTTTCCCTTTATTTTCTTCAAGAAAGATAAACAGTTGTGGCACCAGAAGTGAATATATAAGAGACAGGTGAACTATGACTGTTACCTTGATTTTTCTTTATAATGATCAATTACAGAAGTGTTGGCATGAGAAGGATGTGGGACGTTAGGTAGAACTGCTTGCTGCCGGCTTATACTGAATAAAAAGGATGCTCTTCATCAGTCACCAGTGATGGAGCCAATGTGAAAAGAAAACAGAATTGAAGTTTAGAATATCTCATTTGTATGCTGGCTACTTTATTTTATCTTATTTTGCAAATTAGCCCTGTATCCTAAAACTCTTGATAATGGTCAGAAATGGAAAGATGCCTCCTGGCATGGAGAGTGCTCGAAGCCCCTTCATTCCCAGAGCTCATGGCTTTCTGAAGTCACCAGACATACACATTCGACACAACCCTTCTTCTCCCTCTCTTCCCTCCCTACCCATCAAGTGTGAACATGACTTAAAGCCCCTGTGCTTGGCACTGGGCTAGACAAAGTGCTTTCTCGATCTGTGGCCCAGAAGTCACCTTTGAGTTAACACCTCCCAAGGCATCGCTTGTTTTGCTCAGCTAAGAATAAAGCAGGTACGTTTCAAGGAAGGGGAACAGGTGGGGTTCAGGGAGAATTTTAGGGCTGGATTCTTGAGCCTCCTGCAATGCTTATTAAGAAGGTTTAGTTGTGCTTGCTTTCAAAGCCGTGGAAGGCGGATGTTCTGGACAGTCTCCTCATGGACAGGCTGTCCGCTCGTCCCTCCGGCTTGGAGGACTTACTCCTCTGGAAGGGATTTCGCAGGCTTGCTGTGTTCCGCTGCCTGTCGAGTCTGTCACTGATGGAGAAGCTCTTCCTGGTGTGTGCATATGGCACGCTTGGCTCCTCCGCCGAGTAGCTGTTGGCACGCTCTATCTTGGGAACCGTGATGTTGTTGGACAGGGTTCTGTCCGAGTTATCACCCTCCCGGGAGGGTACTGTAATGGTGGCTCTCCGGCCTTTGGCCTCATTCTCCTCACTGTCAGAGCTGGGGTGACTCAGTTCTGCTTCTTGCTCGGGATGGCAGCAAGATGAATCCTCCACTTTGCCTCCAAGACCGCCAGGGAAGGTGGCCCTGTCAGCAATCGCTTGAGGGGCATTGACACACCTTGTGTCAATACAGTCTGTAATACTTGTGTATTCTGCTGTTTTCACGGGCACCCCAAAATTGGCGTAGTAGCTCCTCGAAGGAGAAAACATAAAGCTATGAGATTTCACGATGGGGGCCTCTTCTAGAAGAAAGGGTGTGGTGGCTAGGTAGCGGCTGCTTTTGGAACGCTCGATGCTCTGGTACATTGGAGGCTCAGTGTCCCAGGGGTTTTGGCATTCTGGGAGGTGGGTGTAGTCTGAAGAAAAAGATCTAGTGTCCATGGAGGTGATGTCCTCAAAGTCAATGCTCCGGCTTGGAGGTCTGTCTGTGGGTGCAAGAGTTGCATAGGCACTACTCGAAGGAGCTGTGGAAGGTGCTGGAGCCGAAAAGCTGGGCTCACCCAGCCCAAGGATGTTCATAGAATTGTCCAGAGGGTCTATATCACAGTGCAGTTCATCCATGGCAGAGACATAGATGTCTATACACGAAGACGGTCTTCTGGAGTCAGGAACGATGGCCAAGGTGTTTGCAGGGGCTGCAGGAGCTTTGGACTCTTTTGCTACAGAGTGGGAGCTAGTAGCCCGGTGTAGGCTCAGGGACCTTTCTTTAAAAAGACTCTCCAACTTTTCTATACCACCTTTGTCTCTCATATTGACTGAATAGAAAGAATGGCTTCTCATACGGGGCATTAGGGTTGGAGAAGTTGGGGACATGGTCTCCTCACCTGCAGGGTCTATACTGTCTTGGAGCTTGAAGGTGTTCCCCTCCTGGCTGTTGAAGCTGCTCTGGCGCACGATGTAGGCGGCGTCTGTGCAGTCGGACGAGGTCCGGGAGCGGATTTTGTTGGACTCAGCCCGCTCCAGACCTGTCAGGCGCTCTAGGGCTGTGGCCATGCGCCCAATGAGGTCCTCGAGCTGTGCCAGCCGGATGTCCACGGTCTGGAGCGAGGCCTTCATGCAGTGCTCTCTCTCGTTGACTTCCTCCAGCCGCATGGACATGTTCTCCACCCTGGGCGAGAAACAGAAAGAGGGTCACGCAAGGCCGGGTTCCTCTCTGGAGAATCTAAATCGTTTTGAGCTGGAAGAGGCCTGAGAGATGATCTAATCCAGTGGTATTTATCTACCAAACCCCTTTCCACTCAGTAAAATTTAATGCACAATCCCAATAAACACCAAAGTTGACTAGTTCTTATTGAAGTGGAGTGGGGCCAAAGCACCTTATGACTTAGCTGGGACTTGGGGTGGGGTTTAATGAACTAACCAAGTATTAGGGCGTCGGCTTAATAAGTCACCACCAAAATGGGAATGTTGTCTTTTGATGGCTTTACTCAGAAGTGCACAAAAGAATTTTAGAAGGCAGCTTTTCTCGTGGCAGTGTCCACGAGACTGAGGAAGACTTAGAGTATGGACTGGGGTTATTTTTACTTTGCATTTATTTATTTATTTTTTTTTTTAAAGATTTTATTTATGTATTTATTTATTTGACAGAGAGAGAGAGTGTGTGTGTGCGCGCAAGCAGGGGGAGCAGCAGAGGGAGAGGGAGAAGCAGGCTCCCCGCTGAGCAGGGACCTGGACTTGGGGCTTGATCTCAGGACCCTGGGATCATGACCTGAGCCGAAGGCAGACGCTTAACTGACTGAGCCACCCAGGTGCCCCTATTTTGCATTTATATAATAATCTTTCTTTTTGTTGTTGCCGTTCACAATAATCTTTTTAAAATTTAGTGCCTCCAAAGGAATTAATACAGTCCTGTCACTGAGGCACCTGGAGGTGATCTAATTTAACCCAAGCCTTTCATTAATAAAGGAAAAGCAAACATCAAGAAATTTAACCAAGATTACAATAATTTGTTGGTAAACCCTGGAGTGTGTATCAACAAGTAAATTTTGCTACTCCTCTCTCTCTCTGTTTCTCTCTGGATAGCTGGTCACAGATGCCTTCTTTTACAGTTATTTCTAGACGTCTTTACCCTCCCCACTGGAAATTCTCAAGGGTGTGATCTATCTCATATTCCTTTTTCCATTGCCATGCTGCCAGGTGTCACTCACAGTTCACCTAGACAATCGCGGCTATGAACTTGATTCCAATGGTCTAGTAGGCTGCCTGGATATTTATTTACAAAGACAGTGTCCACATATTTAAAATAAAATTGTGGGGTGCCTGGGTGGCTTAGTCAGTTAAGCGGCTGCCTTCAGCTCAGGTCATGATCCCAGGGTCCTGGGATCGAGCCCCGCATTGGGCTCCCTGCTTGGCGGGAAGCCTGCTTCTCCCTCTCCTGCTCACCCTGCTTGTGTTCCCTCTCTCACTGTGTGTCTCTCTCTGTCACCTAAATAAATAAAATCTTTATAAATAAATAAATAAAATAAAATAAAATAAAATTGTGTCACAGCTTTCACTTGACTGGGAAAGGAGAAACCAGAGCCAAGCTTTGCTTTGACCTCCAACTTTCACTGTGAAATGCCCCAAGGCAAATCTTTGGGAGGCTCTACAGGAGATCCATTCACAACTTTTCTAGAGAGGCTGAAGATAAAGATACTTTTCCAATACTCCCAGTGTGCACAGTAAGGCCCCTGACGGCTGACCCTTCAAAGAAACATGCTGGCGGGTATAGAACGTGCTTTACGAACAACGGAACAATGGTGGGAATTGGAGCTGGGTCCCCCCAGCTCTTGTGATGGGGGCAAGGGGTGGGTGGCGGCGGCAGTATGTTAATAGTAGCAACACCTCCATCAGAGAAGAATACACGTTTCGGGGTGCCCCAAGGAGGAATAAGAGGGATGTGGTTCCCCTCTCTGAGGACCGGAAGGTCTTTTTTTTTTTTTTTTTTAATTTATTTGACAGAGAGAGAGAGAGAGAGAGAGAGCATAAGCAGGGGGAGCGGCAGAGGGAGAGGGAGAAGCAGGCTCCCCACCGGGCAAGGAGCCCCATGCAGCACTCGATCCCAGGACTCTGGTATCCTGACCGAGCTGAAGGCAGATGCCTAACCGACTGAGCCACCCAGGTGCCCCAGACCTGTAGGCTTTAAAAAACAAAAACAAAAACAAAAACAAAAACAAACAAACAAAATGCTCTTCTGGCCAGAGTGGGTGTGTGTGATTCTCTGGCCTCGGGCCACATTTCTGCCTCTATCAGCAATATACAAGGTTGGTATGGAAAGAGCTAAAGAGGCTCTTTTAGCATAACTGCCTGTGACAATGGGTCTGAACGTTATAAAGTATCTCCCTGCTCTGTGGGGAGCCCCCTCCCTGCGCGCCACCTGCCTTCAGCCCAAGGATCCAACACTGCAAAGTAGCAGGTGAGAGGCAGAGCTAAGGCACCATGAGGCAATGGAAGACTTAGGAGCTGGTCGTGGGTAGTAAACAAGACAGAAACTAAGGAGCCCAGCGGGATGGGAAGAACAGAGAGGTGGTACAAGGGGAAAGAGCGTTTTCAAGGAAAGCAAAGAGGGGCCCGAGGGGAACCTCAGAGCAAAGGAAAGGAGCATGGCCCCGGGGAATGGAATAGTGGGAGGTGGTGGGGAAGACAGCTAGAACAGGACCAAGGAGCTATTCTTCACTGAGTCTCTCCTCAGTGGGTTCTCCTGTGGGCTCTGAGGTGTTTTGAACTGTAAGACTTGGGCGGGGCGAGGGGGGGCCGGGGGCGATGGGCTGTTTCATCCATCTTCTCCTGGATTTCTGGATGTGTTTAACCACCAAACTGTATGATCATTTAGATCATGAATATAACTGTAGAGGTTTAATACAGGAGTTATAAAGGAAGAAAAGATCCCAGAATCAAATTTACATAGGTTTGTTCTATAAACAGAGTGCCTCCCTTAATCTTAAAACATTTCTTTGAGAAGGGATCGTACATGGGTGTGCATCACCGACATAAATTGGTGTGAGGGACAAGCCGAGCGTTTTGAGTCATGATTGCAGTCACTAGTTGCTGACTCTGGTCAAACCACTTAGGAGATAAAACAGAGGTAAGAATGGAAAGAATTTACGAATCAATAGGAAGTCTCAAGGAGAGAGATACAGGAAGTCACTAAGTAAGGAAAAAAAGAGGGACCACGGAAAGGAAGGTGCCATGTGGGAAGAACAGTCTATTTTTCTTTCCCTTTTTCATGTCTCTGGTCCTCACAGGGCTTATTCAGCATCCCTCAGGAAGCAAGCACAAGGGGGACACAACGGGGTCCTGGAAGGACGTGAGATGTCTCCTGTCCCCGGATGCCCAAGAAAGGGATATAGCCGGGGCCCCGCCAGAGGCCACAAAACGGGTTGGTGAGAAGCCCAGGGAAGAAGACAGCCAGCCTGTAATGGCCAATGTGAGGAAGCAAAGGGCATTCACATGAAGATTCCAATGACACAGAAAATTTCAGCTTCAAAATGCAATTTCTTGAGAACTGTTACTTTCTACAAGTTCATTTTCTTTCCTGATAACCTCAAAATGTGGTTAAAGGAAATGCAGTAGAAGAGAAACGAGGACTGGCAGGCCCTGCCTGTTTTATTTATTTTTTAAAAGATTTATTTATTTATTTATTTGATAAAGAGAGAGAAGGAGAGAGCGGGCGCACAAGCAGGGGGAGCAGCAGAGGGAGAGGGAAAAGCAGGCTCTCTACCGAGCAGGGAGCCCGATGTGGGACTCGATCCGAGGACTTTGGGACCATGACCTGAGCCGAAGGCAGACGTTTAACCGACTGAGCCACCCAGGCGCCCCCGCCATGCCTGTTTTAAATCTCAAATAAAATAAGATGACAACTGAGAGGGAGGCAAATCCTAAGAGACTCTTTAGGGAACAAACTGAGGGTTGCTGGAAGGGAGGTGGGTGGGGGGATGGGGCAAGTGGGGGATGGGCATTGAGGGGGGCACATGATGTGAGGAGCACTGGGTGTTGTGTGCAACTGACGAATCACTAAGTTCTACCTCTGAAACTAATAATACACTATATGTTATTTAAATTGAATTTAAATTAAAAAGTATTCCCTGGGGTGCTAGCAGCGGGATGGCTACAGGAGGAAGGGCAAACACAAGCCCATATCACATGAACCAATCACAGGGCCTCTTGTGGGGAAAATAAAAAAGAAGGACAGGGTGTGCTCACACAGGTTTTCAAATGAAAGGCAATGATGCAGAACAAATAAAGCAAACTCTTGCTTATCCACAGACTGATATCTAATTTGTGAATTATTTAAGTCCCTTGGGGTCACCTTCCCTTCCCTTTGGGCCAGTCATCCTTCTCGTCATTCTGGGAAGAAAAAGGGAGCGCAATTTAAATCCAACTCAGTCAGTGGGGATCCCGAAGATCAGCACTGGAAAAAGACACGGTTGGGAGGTGGGTGAAGTTCTTTTTTGGCTTATACTGGTCTTTGATTACTTATGAGACTCATATATCCTAAGTTATTCTTGTCTCCCTTTGTTATGAAAATTAGAAGTTGAATACACTATTGATAGTCACATGACTATTCCTTTTTTTGGATCTAGGTGAAGAGCAAAAAGGGCACAAAGCCCTTTGGCTCAGGAAAGATAATGTTAGATAAACGATGCTAGAAACAATATATATCCTATTTGCTTAAATTGTTCCTGGAGAGAAGAGAATTCAAACTGCAACTTCTTCTGACAAGTGGAACTTGACAGGTGGGGTGATGGGGAGGGTGATCGGGAAGCTCTAAGTGAGGGGTCTGAGAGCTAAATGCCTACGGGGAGGGCAGACTGAGAAGGTAGGTGAAGCGGGGAAGCCTGTGGGGACAGAAGCAGGGATTCTGTGGCAGCCGAGGGCACGCCCAGGCCAGAGGCATTCAGAATGGATTTTAACAATCACTGCAAGCCTAACCCAACCGCGCTCTGTGGGCAGATGTTGCCCACGAGCCACCAGTTTGCAAACCGTGCTTTACATGAGTTAAAGAAACCAGAAAAGAACTTGCAGCTGTGATCACCAGAAAACGTAGGCAACCCTTAAAAACAAGTGGGAAAACAAAAAAGAAATGCCAGGAGACTGGAGATAGGAAAAGGTTTCTCTTATATGAAAAGTTCCTGAATTCTAGGAATTACATGAGTTCGACGTAAATTCTAGACAGCATTATGGAATAGCTCAGTACCTTTTGAGTACTTTAAAAAGATAGGTTCAGGGGCGCCTGGGTGGCTCAGTCGTTACGCGTCTGCCTTCGGCTCAGGTCGTGATCCCAGGGTCCTGGGATCGAGCCCCACATCGGGCTCCCTGCTCAGCGGGAAGCCTGCTTCTCCCTCTCCCACTCCCCCTGCTTGTGTTCCCTCTCTCACTGTGTCTCTCTCTGTCAAATAAATAAATAAAATCTTTAAAAAAAAATAAAAAGATAGGTTCATTAACAGGAGACTTTATGGGCACAGTATTCAACTTATCTTGATAATCCAGACCAATACAGTAACGCAGATGCATCATATTTTGATGGAGTACATTGTGATTTTAGCAGGGAGGTTGACACACTGGGCTGAGGGGAGAAACGTGGATACCTGGCTGGTTATTAACCAAAGGAGAGGTGGTAGAACAGGGGCCAGTGCTGTCATGGAAGGTATTTTTGGAGTCATGCCAATGTCTTGGTTCTGTCTTGAGATAAAATGAAAAAGATAAATATGTATATAAAATGGGAAAAAGAAGGATTTTTCAGAATCGATTCTTATGAGGTGTTAATGATCTCCCGAATATTGTATTGCGCTCCTTAGATACCATTTGGGTACAAAAATATGACGTAGGAATGATGCATTTAAGTTGACAATTATGGAAGTATCTTTGTATTTCTAAAAAGGTTTATGCAAGTAAAACTTATATAAATAAGTTATGTTTTACAGGCAGTGGCAGGGAGAGGAGCGTGGGGCTCACTATGTAAAGAAACCCTTTTCCCAAGTCTTTTAGCAGGGCAGAGCCAGCTCTTAATTTTTCTGATCTCAAATCCCTGTATTGGGGCTAACGTGAAGGGAGAATTATATAATACCCTATATACTATGTGTAGAGTTAATTATGTAAATTAAACATATGTACCTATCCCAATGTGTGTATATATTATCTATCTATTATCTATCATTTATTATCTCTATTATCTATGTATTTATTGAATGTAAATAGGACAGGTGATTTCACCTGCCATTCCACTCAGAAAGATGTCCTAGAGAATGCGTGAGACAGATAATACGGATCCTCTATCTCCTTGGTTGATCTTTGTTCCCTCATGCACCTTGTGGTGTTTCTGTTTTGTGGAGTGCAATTCTAGTGTTTAAAGATTTACTTTTTGGTACACTTGCAAATCAAAACAAACCACCACCACCACCACCACCACCAACAACAACAACAAAAAATCAAACCCCAAACACAGACAGAAGCAATAGAAGTAGGATGAAGCCTGGGCTTAGATTCACTTCTCTGGCACCTGGGCTTGGTTGTGAACTTGTCCTGGTCCTCTAGGCCCCCCACCCCGTTCCTCCAGAAAGCCAGCTCATCCGGAAGACACAGGAAGGGGGTGCCTATGATCTGTCCAGAATTTCTGGGGATTGCTCACCTAGGTCATCGTCCTTGAGGGTAGAGCTCTGTAACCACCCCAAGAGGAAGAGGGTCTTGGGAAAGGGGTCTCCTGGAAGTGTTGGCAGGTGGGGGGTGAGAGGCTCAGGTGAAGGTGCTATATATAGTTCCTTCCTGTTTCTATCCAGTTCCAAGGAATTGGTGACACAGTCACAACACGTTCACAGGTGCTGGTGTCTGTACGTCATCCCAGTCCCCCAGAGAGGTAAAGGCTTCCTTGCATCTCAACACTCCTTCCCCTACCTTTCTTTGCTCCCAGGTCTGTAGCTTTCTGAGGGTCAAAAAACACTGCAAAGTCTCTTGTACATATGCTTTGGAAATATGTTTGAGCAATAGGCAATGTGTCCATGTGGCACAATTTTCTGGAAAACACATGGCTATATGTCCATTAATAAAAAGCTTTTACAAGGCCTCAGAATGAGAGATTTTTAGATTTATAGCTCCTCTTCCTCTGTTTGCCAGAAAATTGCTTCACATCATATCGCCCTAGAATGCTCTATTGTGCAATGACAGATGTGCACAGAATTTGTGCGCAGCTTTAAACTTTGTTAATATTGACCGAGTACCAATGGATACAATCACTCAGTGGCATGTGTGTATATACCTGCTTACCTAGACTGCATCCTTTAAAGAAATGAAGAGCCAGGGACAGAAGAATGCCCCTTGTGTAATTTCTACAGAGCCACTAGAGAGTGTACGAAGTGGGTGAGCAGATAAAATGTCATTTCTTGAAAACTCGAGGTCACTGACTCAATATCTTAGAAGTCTAAATCATATCAACTGAAGTCATCAATACAATGCCTTTTCCCACTATTTATAATAGTGCCATCTTCATATCTCAAAGGCTAGCAATTGAAAGTTACATCAATGCTTTGTAATAGTCTGCACGTTCTTTACCACAGTGGTTCCCAAATGCTGGGTTTTGAACATGCCAGCCCAGAACGAAGTTTTTATTAGTCTACAGCCAAATGAGGAAAATCAGAAAATGTAAATTCCTTTGCATTAAGCTAGATTTATTACATTTCCAGGATTCTCTTCTTTATATTTTGGGATTTCTTTTTTCTTATAGTCTTACTGGTCCACAAAAACTATTTGGCCAGGGAGATCTAAAACTATATCACCACTGGGTAGAAGAATCTGCTTCTCTTCCTTTGCTTTTATCTTGTTCTAGAAACATAAAACAAAATAATTCTGAAAAAAATCCCTCACCCATTATTGTAACTAATTCACAAGTCTCTCGCTGCTGTTGATTCAGAAGGCACTGAACACCCATATAAACCACATACGAGGGCTGTTCTACTCCCCCCGAAAAGATGACCAGAGATCTACATGAAACACCAACCTGCTGGAGACCCTTGCATTGGGCTGAGTCTCTCATGGTTGGTGTCTGGGCTGGAACATTCCAATTTCTGGTCTGAGCCAGCAAGCCCTGTCCTAGACTCAACAACCTAGTGTCCAGGAGAGTGGGTGCTATCGCCTCCTGCAGAAGTCCAGGATCTGTAAGTATGGGATTTTGGTCTGTAAATGCTTTAGACAATGTTCCATTCTCTCATAAGCTTGGACAATAAGAATAAACACAAGGGGGATCTCTGTTTTGGGGGACTGTGCAAACAAAAACAATCAATAAGGCATGTCACGACAAAAAACATCCTTGTGAGAGGCACGTGCCCATGGAACGTACCTTTCCGAAGTCACCCGTATCCTCTCATCATTAGACGAGTTGAATCGATCATCCTTTTCTCTGAAATATTCCTCTATGCACTGCTCTTCGAAATCATGTACTTTCTTGAGCTCATCATCAGTTATGAACAGTTCTGTGGAAAAAAAGCGAGAGATATAAGACAGGAAGGAGAAGCAATGGCATCTGATCTGTGGGCCGAATGACATTCATTTAATCAAGGTTAAGAAAAGGGGCCGAGATTCTTTACGAAGTCACAGGCTAAATCCAAACCCAGCTGGGCAACCTCTGTCACTGTCCTCCCATGCATTAGACTCACTATGGAGCCCTGAAGTTGTCCTCAGTGTATCTGGTTCACTGCAGGGACTGGTTAGAATTATACATATTGTAAGGCTGAGAAAGGAGCTAAATCAAAGAAAAAGCAGGTTACTCAAAAGTTCAATTTCTGGTTTGTGGAGTGAGGCAGACACCCACAGCTGAGGCTGGAAAGCCACATCCCCACATCTCCAGCCCCCTCTAAAGTTGGCAGCAGCCACAGGACCCAGTTCGGCTCCAGAGAAAGAAGTCTGCTGCAGGGAGGGGTGGTGTGCTGGGAAGAGGTTCTGCTTTCCTGCTAAACTCTTCAGAGGTAGCTGCTTCTCTCTACATTTTCTCACCTTCCCCCCTCTTCCTGCCTTGAACATGAATGTGATGACTGGGAACACAGCAGCTATTTTGCTACCATGAGGTAAGACAGTGCAATAACGAATAGCGGAGCCTAAAAACAGGACTCAGGGTCTTTGACTTCAGGGAGCCATTGTTGAGCTCTGGACCCTCTTCACTTTTTATGACTTGAGAAAAATAGAACTTTATTGATTTGTGTTGTTGTTAGTCTGGTTTTCTGTTACTATCACGGAGAGTAATTCATTAGTGATACACCGTAGAAAGAGCCTAGTGGAAATTTGAACCTTTTTCCCTTGAAGCTTTCTATTTGCCTAGACTTGTGTTTTTGGTGGAAACAGTGAATTCTGGAATTCCTGGCCCTCTTCAGCTGTCTAGTTTTAATGTCTAGAACGAAGTTGGGCATTGCTTTGTCAGGGAAGTTGTTAAAAACTTCAGACTTCGAGAAGCAGTTGAGGAAGTGGCTTTGGTTTGAGCTTTAGAGCACTAGTGATCACCGAGAGGTACCTCCTGGGCCACAATCCCAGAGGCTTTGGTTCAGTAGATTTAGTATAGGCAGTCTCTTTGACACACTTTGAGAAACCACAGGAGCTTGCTTGTATGGGGCTGGATTCTCAGTGGTTCTTAACTGTGGGTGGGGTAGTAAGGGACATTTAGGGACCTGCAGGAGCTATTGGTATTCAGTGTGTGGAGGCCGGATGTGCTAAATCTTCTGCAATGTGTGGGACAATCCCACACATTGAAGAATTATTCCACCCCAAGGCCAATAGAACCTGCTTTTAGAAACACTGGGTAGAAGGTGGATGGTGGAGCATTTTCTGTTTTTCCTTTGACTAATAGAGAGCAGGGCTGGTTTCCTCATGAAGTCATACATGACTTCCTAAGACTTGGGGAATGTTTAAGACCCCCCAAAAATGACAGGTCCAGAAATGATCATGGGAAATCAAACTTAGTCACCTGCAACCCACCTCAACCCAGGTAATGATGCCTGCCTTATATATAATGTAGCGTCGGGAGCACATTAATATGGTGCATATATTTTGTGGTGGGGCGTCTCTGGACAGCACGAAGTTTAGAACCTGTGAAGGTGCTAAAACAGCTCTGCCGGAGGACTGGTTTTATTCCCTAAGAAAGATGTGAGGCTACGAATGCTCCATTTCAGCCTCTCATGTCTTTTCAGTACTGTTTCCCATGGAAGCGCACCCTCCCGGGCCCTCCTGAGTGTTCAGAGCTGTCAGCAGTCTGCGGGATGCCAGAGGAACCAGGTGGGCACGGGGTCCTACATGACTGTCTGCAGGAGCTAGTAGGAATTCCTACTTTGTGGTGGCCCAGGGCTGTCACCCGAAGCTTACTCAGGCCATAGTCCCTCTCATCTGGGTCGCTCTCGTGTTTTCTCCATCGGCAACACAGATGCTGGAATATCATGGTCATGTGGCTAAAGATGATCAGAGGTGGGGGCAGAACTGGCCTTTCATGGAAAGTCATGATGAGCTGATACCTCTGAAACTTCCACACTTGGTTGGATATTGATTTTACCTCAAAGAATGTATTGCTGAAATAGAGATGAGAGAGAATCAAGCGAGAAACTCCACTCCTTTCTGAGGCACCAGAGCCTGCCCTCCCCCGGCCTCCACTCTGTCCCGAGTCCTCTGAGGAAGGACCCACTTACTTAAAGACTGCGATGAGCAGGTTGACCAGCAGGATGTTCGCCACTAAAAGATAGCAGGCCATGATGGCCGGCACAATCCAGGCTCCCGTCTTGCAGGGAGGCAGCTGGATTATTTTGCCATCCTCCCGGGTCTCATTCTGTCCACAGGGAGCTGAAGAAAGCAACAGAAGCAAGAAATGAGAAACTGTGGTTCTGTGATAAAAAAAAAGGGGGGGGGACTGATTTGAATGAGAGAGGGTTTTTTTTAGATGGAGGAAAAAGACAGCCATCTCAAAACAAACAGAAAAAAAAAAAAACAAAAGAATTCTAAAAAAGCCAAAATAGAAAAATGAAAGCTTTGTGAATATCCCAAGGGATAGCAGAGGGGAGCTGGCTCAGCCTGTCTCCCGAGTTGTCACCGGACATGAAAGAGATGTTGGGACCCCTGCTTGCTCACGCTGTCCCTTGCCCCCAACACTCACTGAACGATACTTGCTGTCATAAGGAAGCCTGGTGAGGGCTTTCCTGGGGAGAGGCCCTGGGGTGCAGAGTCTCACTGCCCCAGCAAGTTACTTCCAAAATGTGCTATGGTGGTCGCAGCCTCCAGGCAGCTGTAAGAGCTGCGGCCGGGGGATTACTGATTGGAATTAACACCAGGGCAGCAGTTAATTGCTGCGGGAAACAACCCAGGGGCTCCGAGCTAGCGATCTGCTGTCTCAGCATGGAAGGCATAAAACAGGGCAGCGCCTTGGGAAGTATTTGGAGGGCTTGTCGCTCAGTGCCCCTGATGGATGGCATTTCGCCGGGAGGCCCGTGAGAAGTGATGAGCTGGGACCCTGAAGACCTTAGTTACCTGCCTTCTTCCGGGAGCATTTCCATTCCCAAAATGTGCTTTTCAAGGGCCCAGGGCACGAAACCCCACTGCACTGAATAAATGGGCGAGCGGGGGGCGGGGGGGGGGCGGGAAGAAATTTCTGGAGGTGGGGGTGAGGAGGGAGGTGATGTGCGGGACGGGGGGAGCGTGAGTAATGTGCTAATTAGGCCTGCTTGGAGTTTCCAGGGGAAAGGCAAATCCTTGACAGAGCTCCTTAGTGCTAGTCCTTAGTGCTGCACAGAGAACGTGGCCGAGGAGTGAGATCACGCCCCGAGGTGAGCGGGGGAGAGGTGAGGTCGTTCTCCCTCTCCAGCTGCCGGCTGTTGGCTTTCCAAGGCGGCCTGTCTGTGCAAAGCGGGTGGGACATGCAGTGGTCTCAGCAGTCACCACAGACAGCTTTTGAAGATCTGCCAGGAAGGTCTGCAATGTTGGCCCAGAATCTTGGCTGGAGTATCTGGCAAAGGGGGGTCCATTCCCTTCTCAAGAGCTAACGTTGCTATGCGGTGTACTCCATTATGGTTCTCAACCCTGGCTGCACTGGGGAGCTTTTAAATATGCCAATGCCCCGTTCCACCCCCAGACAACTGAATCTGAATCTCTGAGGGTGGCCCAGGCAAGGGTAGATATTTCTTTTAAAACTTCCCAGGTGCCACTCAGGAGAGTCCACTGAGCTAGACTTAGGCTGGCAAGCGTATGCTCTCAAGCCCAAAAATGCACGTTCTTAGCCTAAGAGGGGTTTAATAATGTCAGGACACTAAGACGCTGTTTTTTATGGCCAGAAAAGAAGCTTCCTTTGGATCAGCCTGCAAGGCGATTGTGTGCTGGAGTCAGGTGAGTTCCAACAGCAGGCATCGTTGTTATTGGCAGTTGGGGAACTAAACAAGAGAGTCCTCTGGAAGGCGCTGATCATTTACTCCCTTGGAAGGAAAACCTAGTGATGGAGGACCCCATGTGCTTCAAGATGAAGTCTGAACCCTGAGGGTGGCTGGCCCCGTGCCATCTCTTGCCACTTCCTACCCCTCCCTCAGCGCACAAACTGGACTGAGTCTCTTGCGGTTCCTAGAAATGTCATGCTCTCTCTTACTTCCTGATTTTCAGCCATGCTTCTTTTGCTTCCAGAAGGCCCCTCTGAAACCTCGCTCCCACTCCCATGCTCCACCCGGGTGCATCCTGTTCAGTTTTCAGTGTTCACTCTGGAGCTTTCTGGAGCCCACCCCAGCTCACTTTCCAGCCAAGACTGGGGTACATATTGACAGAGACTCTCTGCCTGGCTAAGCTCTGCTCAGGCTCTTTTTCAGCTGGGCCTGGACTTTTGTCTCTTCATTGTCAGTTTCAGCAGGAATCCTGCTAAGCCAGTTTGGCTAGAATTCCCACCCTTAATAACTCATCGCCATCAATATCTGGTCCATTTTCTCATCCTCCACCATTCCCCAGCCTGTGTCTTGATCACCTTTGGCCGGCCCTCGCCAAGAAGCCAGGTTTTTGGCCGGTAGGGCCAGATCCCCCTTACCCTGGTATTTCCTCTTCCCTGATTTTCCATCTACTGACCTACCTGTAGATTTCCAGTTTCCCTGGCTGCATTCAGAGCGGGGCCTCATCTCTCTCTCCTATGGAGGACTGCCATTGTAGTAGCTCCGCACCCCCTTGAATGAAGTCTCCCTTGCCGTCTTCCCCAGGAAATGCTGATCTCAGTTCTTTACCCGGGGTCCTCAAAAGTGAAGGACAGTAAGGACTGGGGAAAACATAGTATGTACCGGGCTCTGCTCTGGGCACCTCATGAGGGGCGACATGCCTTACCCAAGATCACAGAGCTAATAAGGGATAATGCCAGAACCGTTCAAACATTCATCCAAGAAATACTAAGTTCTTGCCATGGGCCAGCATAACGGGGACTGGAGATGCGGTGACGAATGACGAAGTGAGTCCTGTCTTCTCTCTGGCCCCACAGCCTGTAAGTACTCTGATTTATCTCATGTGGCCTTTTCAAGGTATAATACATAATAATAGTAGTGACCACCTAGTGCATGCTTAAATATCAGGCCCTGTACTATGAGCTTTACTTATATCGCCTTATTTGAATCGTGACAACATTTTGACACAACAGATATACTTATCCCCATTTTACAGATGAAAAACGGAGGCTCAGAGAGCTTTAGGATCCCTGTCAGGATCTCAGAGACAGAAAGAACAGAGTCAGGAGGTCCATGCAAGCCTTCTTGACTACGCAGTTCCCATTACGCCTCTGAAGAAAGGGCCAACGTAGGGTGGAGGGGAGTCTTTCTATTATAAACAAAGGCAGACACAAGCTGATAGACGTCAGAATTTTTCTTGTTTCCATCAACATGAATAATGGCCTGAGCTGTTCAGATGAGGTAACAAATGTACTGAACACTGAAATTCGGAGTGTGAAGAAAGAAATTTGCTTCACATTATAGGTATCAGATGTAGGCACCCACGTCGCAAAGATTAAGATGCATGCCCTTTTGATTTCATCCTATGATATATGGGAAAAAGAAACATTTTTTTTCAATGTACACACTACCTTATCCCCAAAGAGTAACAGAAATTTAAAATGAAACACTAAGCAGTGTTTGATATGATCAGCACCATCCTTAAAAATATGATGAAAAGGATATTTCTCCAAGATTGTCCCTTCCCCTCCTGTCTTAAGAAACGTCTCAAAAGCTTATTCCAGATCACAGGCAATGGAATAAAGAGCTTAGCTGAGTGTATGACTACATTTATCCTATCTTTTTTTTTTTAAAGAAAGGATTTTCAACTAAAAATCCATCTTGAGAAGATAACAAGACAAGGAGGATTTCGCCACCTCCTTTCGAAAACCCATACAGTTTGCCAGAGGATCTAGAATTCCATTAGCTCAGCTCCTATGGCTTACTCCAAGGATGAATTAGATTTAGATGGCTCTGCTCTTTTCTCACACAACGCATTTTTTGGGCAAGATAACTAGAGATGCCTTCCTGTGTATGGACTACACACTTCTAGAAGCTTCCTGATCTCAATGTCTTAGATGGTGGTGGAGCCAGACAGGAGTTTTCTTTATGGAAGTGTGGGGCAACTTTCTGTTTCTTTCAAGAGGGCTACCATCTTGTCTCCCAGTAATGGAGGACAGGAAGAGTAGGCGTAATAGAAAACCAGGGAAGCTCCAACTTTGTAGAGTCAAAAGCACCATCTGCCTTTGACTTCTCTTGTGGGTCATTTCTTTTCCCTCTCCCTAGCCAAACTGCTAGGTAAGAGGCAAAGTAGTAGTGACGTAGCACAAAGGTAACTGTCAGGAAGGAGAGGAGGCCTCAGTTTCTCCATCTGTGAATGGAGGGACCAGGACCATGGCCATTCCCTACAGCACGGGACACACACAACAACTCAGGAAGTCCAAGACGATTTTAGAATACAGGGACAGGGCCCTAAATAACACTGAATCGGAGAGTGAGAAACTGATGACCTTTTCAAATCCCCTTTGATCTCCTTGACGCCATCAGAGAGAATACATCAGTTTGAGGATAATATTTCTGTAACACTTCCTTCGTGTTTGCTAAAATCCCTTGTTAGTGAAAATTGGGCAGGCTGAAGGCTCAAACAACTGGGCAGAATTTCATAACAACGTGGCTGTCATTCTGTTTATTTTATGGTTATCTTCTGTTTCTATCAAATCACACTGATTTTTCAACTTATGGCCGTGACAATACATTTTTAAAAATAATTTAGGTTTGAAAAAGAAGCCAATTTCTCTAAAACCATCAAAGAGTAGAACACATCTCTACAAAACAATGAATGGTTTATGTGACTAACAATTGAAAAATGCTGGACTCGAAGATTTCCAAGCCCATCTAGCCCTGTTATTCTATTACTCTGTGTTTCTGTGACGAGGAGCAAAAGACCAGAATAACTCTCAGACTGGATCATCTATCCCTGGGGCTAACTGAGGTCACTTGTAGAAGCCTTGTTCTTTCCACTCCTGGCACAAAAGCAATCAAATAATTAGCCCCCACTGCCTGACATGGAACCCAGCCACCATCAGGGAGTCGGGGGCACCAGCGACAAAGGCTTTGACTCTTCAGGGTTTCTGGTCTACTTGCTATTTGCACCCATGTTCAGCCTTGAGCTACTAAAAAGCACTATTAAACTGAATATACCTCATTTTTTCATCCAGTGAATTAGAAAGCAGATTGTCACAAGCCTAGGTAGGTCATGTGTGAGTTGTGGGTGGGGGCAGGGCATGCATTATGGGGGAAAATTCAATTCCCTCTGTTGTCTTGGTTCTGTGGTCTTGCTATTCTATA